AAAAAAACAAATCTTCCACTAGACTAAGCCAAATACATTATAATGAAATCCAAAAAAACAAAATTCAAATTCACCCTCCAGATACTACAAATTCCACATGAAATTAGGCAACAATCTACACAAATCATCCAATTTCAAAGCCATATTACTCATCTATGATATGTACACACTTATAACTTGGTAATTATATATGCATACCAATAGTTAATAAAACTGTATCTAAACAACCAACACATCAAACAGTACATAGAGAAGCAGAGGCAAATCATTAAATGTCAAAAAGTCTTGGTAATTATATTGAAATATCAACTCTAAAATCACAAGTTTTCATTTCAATTTTGACTAAATCTGATCACGTCTTCTTGGGTCAACAGAATTCATAGCCGTTGTGAGCTGTGGGAGATTCTTGCAGTTTTCTTCTTGAATTGGACTTTATTGGTACCACAAGATTCTGAGCACCTGAGAGGATGAGATCAATGGCTTCCAACAAGCTGCAAAACAACAATGAAATATAAATAATGCTTAATTTTTATTTGCATAATATATACATTCAAATTGGCTTATTTCTTGTACCATTTCTTCAACTATATAGAACACTAAATGGGTTGGCAACAAACTAGGCAGGCAAAACACATTCTGTGATATAAGCAAGAATCAGAAACCAACTTAAATAAATAAAAATAAAAATGATCACAGATTGTTGGTTCATGTTGGGCCAACTCCAAGAAATCTTGTTGAGGCAGAGCTCTAACCTCAAGTGACCAACATCATATACTTTGGCACTCATAATATAATCATAGAGTGTGCCATTACACAGATTAAACAGAGGTATTTAACCAAAATATGAAATCCACAGCAAATTTCGGAAAAGTAGCACTCAAATATATTTTATTTTAAACATACATTCCACTTCCACATAAGCAAAAACACCTAAGAAGAGGAATGCCTTTATCAAGTTAAATTGAAATTCTGGGGCAATGAAAACTACGATAACTTGCTTTAACTATTTATTTACATTTGCCTTCCCATATAAATATAAGCTTTTGATTATCATTATTTTTTAGTACATTTCAAGAAAGAGATTCCATTCATTCACAAAAAAAAATATACATATATACATGTTAGAATATAATATGTAAAATGTTGCTTTAATAATTAGGTTAGCATAATAATTAGTATGCTTTAATAATGTACCTTTAATAATGTTGTTTGGTTTGTGCTTCTACTTTCGGTTTGTAATTGTTCTCCCTCTCCTCTATAAAGGAGAGAGCTCAACACACCATAACATTCATCAATCAATAATACAATCAATATCTATACAATTCTCTATTTCTCTTTATACATTGTATTTTAACTTGGTATCAGAGCGGGTTTAGAACCTAGTATTTTCGCTTCACCGGCGGGCGACAATCTCACCTTAGCCGTCCGCCGGACCTCAACCTATTCCGCTGTCATCTCTATCAATACATGTAGCTTCTTCCATGGCAGATCTCTCTCCTTTCACCTATTAGAAGTACTGAACTTGTCCAGCCTGCACAGTGATGTCACTTTTGATGCCCTTGAGAGACTTGTTGCTAGGTGCAAGTCATTAAGTGTTTTGAAGGTCAATAAGAATGTCAACTTGAAACAATTACAGAGGCTACTTGTACGGGCTCCTCAGTTGATGGAGCTTGGTACTGGAAACTTTCAACAAGAACTTGCACCGCGCCAGTATGTAGCGCTTGAAAGTGCATTCAGCTACTGCAAAAAAAAAAATAAAAAATAAATAAATAATAAAAAATAAAAAATCTGCACACCCTATCAGGTTTATGGGAAGCCTCATCTTCATTCCAGCTCTCTTGCTGTCTATGAGCTCCGCCGTGTTCTCGTGCCTACCGTCGGATCGAGCAGCCTTGATGGCCTTGAGAACTGTCCTACACGAGCCCCACCACTTGGGCATATTCAACTCCTGGAATGGCACCGACTATTGCCACAACTGGTTCGGCGTGAGCTGCGACCCCACCACATGCCGAGTCGCCAACATCAACCTCCGCGGCGAGTCCGAAGACCCCATCTACGAGAAAGCCCACCGCACCGGTTTCATGACTGGTTATATCTCTCCCTCCATTCACTCCAATATCCAGAAATTGATTTCAGTAGCTAGGGTTCATCTTCTCCTCCAGCTTTGCTTGAGTCAGTGGATGCTTTTATTCTTGAGTCAGTGGATGCTTTTATTCAGTCTCCACCATCTAGGACTCTCCAGTCGGATTGTCTTTCACCTCGGAACAGTGGGCTATTAGATGCTTTGCTTCACGAGGCAAAGACTCACAAAGAATCAATTGTCTGACAAAAGTTCAAATTCTTCTACCATCACTCCTGGTGGTAAAGCAAACAGTTCTCTCTTTCTCTCTCTATACATCATTCTATCAACTCAGGGACAAAGTTTTCACTTTTTGAATAAAGCCACCACATTATACAAACCAATTTTTTTTTTATTCGTTTTATTATTCTTATCATCCTCATCATCATGTACCCCACTCTCTCTCTCATTTTTTTCACTTTCCAACCCACTGGGGCACATGCTTTCGCCTTTCATATATTATTATTATTGTTATTAAAACAAAACAAAATATATATATATATACCAAACCCATTGCAGGTTTTCACAAAACCGTGGGCCAAGAAACCCACGTGAACCAATCTCCTTTTTCCCTCACTCTCTCGTTTTGATTTCACATATATTCTTATTATTTCTTTCTTTTTTATGTTCTCCCCTTTCTTTCTTTTATTTTATTTATTTTTTTTTTCATTAAAAAAAAAAAAAAAAAAAAAAGGAAGAAGACGAACTACACACCAAACTCATTTTATTCATGTCGGGGCTCACCCCGATCACCATTTTACACCACACAAAAAAACAAAACAAAACAAAACAAAACAAAACCAACACAAATCGGAACAGTGGGATTTTTCTTCTCTACTCTGCCGCCGGTCTCTTCTTCTTGCCTCCATCCTGGGCGGCCCTTGCCGGTGTTGCCTCCGTGTTTCCCACTCCACTGGGCACGATCACTACTCCTTGCTCCTCCACTGCAGCATATGGCGGACCTCCAAATCGGAACATCACGGTGGCCTTCCACTTCAGCTCCTTATTTTCCGCATTTAGCACACTTATCTCTACTCGCGCATCCTTATACATGCATTGGAGCAGAGCCAGTTGGGCGGTTAACTGCTGCACCTCATTTGTCCTACTCTGCAGCCGGTGCGACAAGTTTGTGACCGCCGTCATGGTCTCCACACATGACTTCAAAGTATACTGATTGGCCTCAATATCTGTTTGCACTGCCATTTTTTTCTCCACTGATTGCATAGGGAAGTTCAACGGCGCAAAACCAGAGGCGCTTGGTTGCGGTTCAAGGGCCACCGCACCAGTTATTTCTCTTGTGGACTCGTTCAGGTCTGGAAAGAGCGTGAGCAGACCACGGGAAGAGGAGGCCATGTTCTGGGTAGCTGGACGGGAAGAAGAGGCCATGTTTTTGGGTTGCTGAGTGTTTCAGCGAAGCAGCAATTTCAGACTGATAATATTCGGAAGGGGAGTGTTTCAAGATTTGCAGCTCTTAGAGGCAATCTCTCAGAAAAACGAATATCTCTCTCAGAAAATGAAGAGTTTTTCAGAAGTTTTTTCCCAGGTTTTTTTGTCTTCGCTTCTGCCTCAAGCACAGCCTCCGCATTGGTTTATATCGACACTGACGACGCGGCCGACACGCCACTCTGTCGCTCACGTGCCTCGCCGCGTCTCCGGCTCACCTTTTGATGGCTCGACGCTTTCTGTCGGGCACGACTTTTGATGAAGTGGGCGCGCCTTTTGAGGGCGCAACTTTTGATGGCACGTCTTTTTATGGATTGGGCACGCCTTTTGATGGCACGCCTTTTGAAAGATTGGGCACAACTTTTGAGGGTGCGACTTTTTAAGGGTCCGACAAGACTCTGTAAACTGTCCCGACATTGATTCCGGTTAGCTTCTACAAGGGTCCAGCAAGACTCCATAAACTGTCACAACATTGTCTGCTACAACGGTCCGACATGACCCCATAAACTGTCTTCTACATCGGTCCAACACAAGCCAGTGTCTTCTACATCGGTCTGCCATAACTATACAGTCTTCTACAACGGTCTGACACGACCATACAGTGTCTCCTATCCATTTTTATTTTATTTTATTTTTTCTGTTTTGTTACTCTCTCCAAACTCAAGTTGGTTGGTTCCTATCCTCCTTGAGTTTGAGGGGGGCTGTTAGAATATAATATGTAAAATGTTGCTTTAATAATTAGGTTAGTATAATAATTAGTATGCTTTAATAATGTACCTTTAATAATGTTGTTTGGTTTGTGCTTCTACTTTCGGTTTGTAATTGTTCTCCCTCTCCTCTATAAAGGAGAGAGCTCAACACACCATAACATTCATCAATCAATAATACAATCAATATCTATACAATTCTCTATTTCTCTTTATACATTGTATTTTAACTATACAATTATACACAAGACACAAAGAGAAACATTGAAATTGATTATTCTCTTTGCAAATATACTAAAATTATTGCACTTGCTTGTCCTATTGTGATGACAGATTTTAAAAACCAAAAGTATTCTTCACTTTCAACCCATACCTCTCCATATAAATTATTGCACTTGTTGTCCTATTGTAGTTTGTTGACAATTAATGACCTGAAACCTAATCAATTCACCCTTGTCTACCCATAAGATTTAGGGGCTTTAGAAGATAAAAGGATGGATCACATACAATGAGAAACAAATGGAGAGGGTAGAATGTATCAAAATCTATAATCCTAAACTGATTTATGAGCAGCAAGTATCAATATCATAATTATAATTCTACAGATATATCATAATTAATTTACTGAAATATATCTAACCTTTTGTGGTGGACTCTACCCCAGTAGAAATGTGTGCATTTCCTCGTGCTTGAGGATGCATGTCTCAGGCCTGCCGCTAAAGCAACTAAAAAGGTTAGCAAGTGCATTGCAAGATCTGCACATTCAGATCTCACATGTTATAACTTTTCTTCTAAAATACCCAAAAAGGAAAGAAATGGAAGACAAAATTCCCATCAAACTATGCAGAAGTAAAGCCAAGTAGTTTTGTCAAGCAGAAAACAAAAACAAATAAATAAATATATTCAAAAAGAATAGGCATAACCATGTGTCTTTTGCAATACAACATCAAGTTCAGATGAATTTAGAAGCTAGTAAGACCATCTATTTGGCCAGTTTACTGAGTCTGGGTTGACAGTTTTTTCTATCCACAAAATCAACCCAATGCAAAAAAAAAAAAAAAACTGCAGTTTAATTGATGGATCACAATCTGTGGTCATAAGCCAGAATAACCAATCATGTAGTAGCTCACAATTGGGATGCACATACAGTGGATCTATTCAGCGCATAAGGCAGCTAAATGCCAGGTACAATCACTTTCAAGCCCCAGGAGCGCCATTATAGGGGCGAGGTTGACCAAAGCAATGCAACATGTGACCAGTTAAGTTACAACACACAACTGGCTAGAATTATTTTGAAGCTAAGAAGTACGGACACGTACAGATATGGACATGGTAGGGATACGACAATTTTTTATTTTATTTTATTATTTACCATGTAAAAGAATATAAATGTAGGATATGCAATGTGGGTGTATTTTTAATTTTTGATTTTTATATTTTTCTTTTCTTTGTTTGACCCCAAATCAGCTTTCTAAAATTATTAATAAAAGGAAACTACAAAGGTGTCCTAAAAAAATTGACAAACCGAGTAGCATACTTGTGCGAAAATGCCACAATAAAGTATATCCCATGTGAAATCATAGAACTCAATTTCAATGCCCCATATTGTTTCCCAAACACCAAACATAAATGTAGTGGACCCTATTGTTAAAGCCAATCACAATAGTAGAAGGTACCACATAGCATATACTTTATCCACATACAAAAATTACTTCAATACAAGGGTTTATAACTATAAATTTCAACAATTTATACATACACAAGGGAAAAAAGAAAAATAAATAAATAAGTAAAGAAAAAATAAAGAAAAGAAAAAGGCCATTACCTATTGTTCATACCATCTAAAGTGAGGAAGGCATGTCAACCACCAAAGCCAGCAATGATTCAAATAAATCTGCAGTTGGTCTCATCTTTCTTCTTTATGGCATAGCTGTAAGTGCGCAAGAGGGGCTTCTAAAAATTGCTAGTATCTCTGACCTATTAGAAAAACCTTTGCAACATTATATGTGCTAGGAGTTAGAGTAAGTATTGATCTTCCTAAAAGCCACTTGTAAGGGCCTGTTATGAGAAGATTACTATTACCTAACTGTCAAGAGATGGAAAATCAGGGGAACCTTCTCTTCTAGTACCACTGAAGCAGTGGAAGGATCATTAAAAATACAAAATCGAGAGAAATGGTAAAGCTGAGAAACAAAGAGACCATGACCTTACTGATTGCCGATGTGGATTTCCTCAGTTAAAAGATGAATGTTGTCCTCACTGTGTCAACACTGGCACAGATACAAGCATCCCTCAAAGTTGAAAGAAGTGAAATTTCACCTCTTCACTTGTTATGAGCAGGCAGCTGCAGTAACATATGAATGCAAATAAACAGCAATGAGCAGTACCTGCTCCTTGAATTTTGTTGAGTCGCCTCTGCTAATCGTGCACTTTTGTTACTCAAAAATGGAAGTGCTCTTTGCCGACTGAAAGTTGTAAGGTAACTTGATATTTATAAGGTTATATTTAGGGCATCTTGCCAAAGCACAGCCACTCAACAAAACAGTCAACTCAGCATTGGCGTATGATAAAAACATTCACCTTGAATCTCAAAACTGAACTTTGCCACTGTCTCATCTTTATGTCATATGCTCAGACTGCTCGCAAGGATGCCTGCCAAGTGAGATTCATGTATACTATTTGGTGGGGTGGCATGCCGAATATGATAATGTAGGGAATGGGTGTTTTCATGGGATTCTCTCCTTTCCTCTCCCCTGCTGCCTGCCAATACCTGCACTTAGCAAAAATGCCTATTTTTGAGTGACTTATGTAGCTCCTTTTTTTAAAGTACTTTCCTAGTTTTTATTAGTTAATATCAATGCAATGATTGAATTTGAAAGCAAGAAAAGTGTTTTGGAAATGATAACAGACATAACTGTGCCTAGTGTCATGTAAGAAAGTATTGTCATTGAGATGCTAGCAGTTACATGTTTCAATGAAGATCCAACAGTTTAACTAGCATTTTTAAAGCACTTACCTAGGTTTTAGGAGTTTACAACAGCAATACCATTTGAATTTGAAAGCAAGAAAAGTGTTTTGGAAATGATAACAGACATAACTGTGTAATTAATAATATTTGTTAAGTAATTGAACAGAAATTAAGGGTAAAATAGCTCACTCAAAAGGAAATGGACCATTTAAGTAGAGTGAATGGATTACTTTGCCGCTTCATGTCATTGCAATTTCTAAACATGCATTATGGATTAAACTAAATTGACATAATGTGAAAAATTCAACTTAGAGTTGATTCAATTAAAACTACAAAAAAAAACAAAAGACAATCTACAAAAACTACATGTATAATTTTCCCTCAGCTAAAAATCAAATCATGTAACTCATGAGATATGAAATTTTAGTACTTCTACCAGCCACTTCTAAAGCATCCAAATAAACATATATAGCAGCAATGTATATATATACATATACAATTGATCAGAAAACAGCAGAAACCACTCATGATCTGGTTGTTTTGACCTTATGCAGAGAAAATTGGATAAAAATGTTTAACATTGAACTATTTTGAGATGGCAGGTATACACCTTTATAGATAGTAAAAGAAAACAAATTTTATACCTAAAGATTTAAGTTGAGGGTGTTGAGTACAGGGTTCACAATTCAGGTCCGGATCAGATCCAAACGCCTCATGCCATCATTGTAGTCTAAACAATACCAGATATATCTCAATTCTCTTAATGAGTCACAAATATGCTACATCAAGACAATGAAAATGGGAAATAGAGTCAACATTTGAAGAAAAAGAAATAGCTAAACAAATTGAAACTCACAAAATCGAGAACCAAGCTTCAAAATCTGCAGTCCAAGTGGTGGCCTTCAAATCATCGCCAGATCTGAAATCGAGCGAGAGAGAGAGTTTTCGAAATCGAGACAGAGAGCGTGCTTGAAATCGAGCGAGAGAGTAGACTGAGAACAAATCTGAAGGAGTAGATTAAGAACTTTAATCGCTCAGATTCAAATCTCCAAATCGCAAATCGCAAATCTGGAGCGAGAAATAGAGAGAAATCGCAAATCGCAAATCAATTTTGCTCAGAATGAATTCGAGCTCGATAGAGAGAGAGGGAGAGAGAGAGAGAAATCGCAGCTTTAGGGCTTTAGGATGTGGGTAACGGCGTTAGGCATTAACACGCGGAGATTATGTTTAAAAGAAATCTAATACAGCGTTTTTAAACGTTGTTTTAATTGAAAAATAGCGGCGTTTTTATAAACGTCGTAAACAAAATGTTGCTATATCCCTTTTTTCCTGTAGTGAGTTATGTGAAACCTTCGAGTGATCCATAATTGATTGAACGTAAACCTAATATCAATATTAGTGGGAAAAAGGTTTCTCTCTTTTGACCCTCTTTAGAATACACTGAATTCATAATTAATTTGATGGGTAGTCTGAATGCCCTTTTATAGGTAGAGAGATGACCAATTTCCTTATTCAACAATGATTTCACTTTCTCATCAAAGTAGGATACTTGGAAAACACTCTTCTTTATTTACCAATTAATTGTAATAAAAAAATACGAAATCATAATCCTGTCAAATCTTTAATTCATATTATCATATCATGTGAATCAATATAATGACTAAATAAATAATTTAGTCCTACATATAGTGCTAAAGAATAACATTACGACGTGTCAATCCATTACAATAGATAAAGCTCGAATGATGTTTACTAACATATTATATTCTTATTATGATGATTTCAGTTTTTTGTGTAACTGAAATTCCCTAGATAAGCAACCCAAACAGTTTCAAAAGTGTCTCATTGCTTCTAATTCAGAAAAGCAAAAGCTTAAAACAATGAAATTTAGATTTTCACTTTGTGGTGAAATGTGGCTGGTGCGTAGGGTTTTTTTTTTTTTTTTTTTTTTGGGGAGCTTGTTTCCAATTGAGTTTTTCAATTGGAGCATTTGTTGGGCCTTTATGGGCTCACAACGAGGTCCATATCAATAATCTAAATAGTTTAATTTGTAGCATTTGTTGAGTTTTTATTTTTTGTAAAAAATTATATTAATAGGATGTTAATAATTATTTGATCATATTACATTTGTGTCAATTTATTTTTAAAATCATAGTTACCGTTAACATAAATTTGAATTGATCAAGTGGCTATCAAAATCTAATTAACGTAATTTCTTTAAAGGATTAAATTACTCGACGAATCATAAATATTGAACGATTCAGATTATCGATGTGAACCCCATGATAAGTCCACCGAAATGCCACAATGCAACTCTGTCAATTACATTGTTCCCAAAAAAAAAAAAAACTGTATCAAATACATTAAAAATTTAGAGAAAATAGTTGTAACTGTCATTCATTTTGATCATATTTTTGTTTGGTTTAATTTTAAAAGCAATTTTTAAGTTTATGTTGGTTTTATTTTTAGAATTAGTTTTCTAAAAAAAAATTCAAAAAGGAAAAAAAATTTATTTTTACAAAAATAAATTTAAAAATAATATTTTCAAATTCTTAAAAAATATTTTTACCCCCAAAAAAATGAAAAAAAAAATTTAAAATTAGTTTTGAATCTTTTGTTTTTTCCAAAAACAATTGAACAAAATGAATAAAATTTTAGATGTTTATAATGATGTATTAATTTGGATCATAATAAAATTTCAATTGTATGATGGTTTTAACTTGTGACTATCATTCATAACAAAATATCATAATTTTTATAACTAAAGTCACTTCATTCCACACTTAAAATCACTTATTTTTTAACTAGACATCATAAAATTTCATAACCAAATTAAATCGTCATTAAACAGATGTATTTTTTAAAATATATTTATACTGGTATATCATAAAGGGAATAGCCTTATCTATTGGCAAAGCAAAGGAATTCACAAGTTTTCTTGATAGCCACTTCCCAAACAAGGCCACAAGTTTTCTTGATATTAGCATTTCGAACATGTATTTTACATTAACGTTTGTTGTCATGGAGATGACGTCCAAAACTGAGTTTGATGCGCCAATCAAGCTTTAACATTCAGTTTTATCTCCTTTTCTTTTTCCTTTTTTGGGTTTGTTTTTGTGAGTATGATGATTTGAGAAATACAGAGAAAAGAAGAGGAAGAAATACACAAACATAGAAAGAGAGAGAGAGAGAGAGAGAGTTAATCATCGATGATAGATATGGACAGCAACATAGTGCCAATGTTGCTGCTCCAAACGGTGGTGGTGGCATGGTAATAGTGACGGTGATAGTCGACGATGATAGTAGTACCTGGTTCCGATGAGTACTGGTGAATGATGCTGGTCTATACTGCGTTGCAAATCTGAAGAAATTTAGAGAGAGATTGAACAGAGGAGGAAGACAAATGTTGGTTTAGATTGAGTGGGTTTGAATTCAAAATTTTCAAACTTTAACGACGTGTCTGATTTGCATCTCAAAATATAATTTTTGAAAAAAAAATTTTAAATTTTGTTTAGTTCAAATTTTTTGAAAAAAAAAAAATCTAAAATCACTCTTTTTTCCTATACATTAATCAATTGCTTTTTCTTTCTTCTCTTTTCTCTTTCCTTTTCAATCACTTTTTCTCTCACACACATCTACTCAATTATAACAAAATATCAAATCATCCCAAATTTCCAAACTTCAAAATTATTTTCAAAATATATAACCAAACAAACCCCAAAAAATTTTAAACTTTCTCTCCAATTTTTATTTTTATTTTTTTTTTTAAAAATTTATCTCAAAACATAAACCAAACACACTCTTAATTTTGGAGTTGGGGCAGTAATCTATAATAATAAAAAAGAGTGAGATTATATGCACTAATTAGTATAGAAACTAGTGTATCAACATTAATTATGATATTATTATTGATTCCACTCATTACACAAATTATAAATATTAAAAATATTTAAAATTATATCACATTATCAATTTGTATATAAATTAATATATTAATTAATGCATATAGCATTATTCAATAAAAAATTATTTTAAATCTCTAACGTTAACGCCGTTCAGAGGCTTTTAATGTATTAGTTGTGTTATTTATGTTGCAGAGCAACTGACAATATAGACAGGTGGTGCGCAGCTATTGAAATGGTGCACCACCTGGCATCAGTAACGTGGTGCCCTCTGACCAATGAATAATTTCTCCTAAAACTGTTCACTTCTTGATCACGTCACGTGGACTAAATGAAAAACAAGTATCATGAAAAATATTTCATAAAAATGATCATGAACAAATCTCTATTTTTATATTACACTTTGTAACTTATTATATATCTAATCTAATGATTAAAAATCTTTCATAATCATTTTTATAAAATATTTTTCATAATACCTAGCATTGTTCGAACTAATTAATGCTCCGTTTGGGAAGCCAATCTTGAGGTTTTTTTTTTTGGCTATTTTAGCCACAAAAAATAAAATAAACTTTTTTGTCTAATAAGACAAAACATCACATCCAACCTATAATCATTGCCTTCCTTCTCTCACAAAAAGCCAAAAAAACAGAAAGGCTTTTCCAAACTAAACTTTTTAACCCCAGATTAAAATAGTAAAAAAAAATCAAAAAGCCAAAAGCCAACCCACTTCCCAAGAGATATTTTGGCGGGGGACGTAGCGACGACACCTGTCAGCATCCAAAGCTAGACTCCCGCTCTTGCCGATTCGCGTCTTATATACGTTAGATATGTGTCCCCAAGATCAACCAATAAAACATTTATCCAGAAATTAGTTTTTTTATAATAGAAAAAATAATAATTGTTATTTAAATTAGATTTTTAATAAAATTTAGGAAATTTTTTTAGAAAGTCCTATTTTAAGAACTTTTTGATCTCACGTTTTAAATGGTTAGTGTGTGACTAACAAGTCCTTTTTCAAACGTGAATTGGTATTAGTTAGATTGATATACCCTTACTAGTTAATTGGGAATGTTTATTTTTTTTTTTGGAATGTGCGAGGTATGGTGTGATGCTCTAATGTGACAAGTATTAATGTGATACTTCAATGATGGACATTCCAAAAAAATTAAAATTTTTTTAATGTACTTTTCTCAAATGTGCCAATATAGCGGGTATAATGTGACACTCTAAATTTTTTAATTATCCTTAGTGTAGTTTTTTCAAATGTGATAATGTGGTAAGTATGATATGACACTCCAAAATTTTACTTATCCTTAGTGTACTTTTTCCAAATGTGACGTTATAGGTATGATGTGACACTCCAAAAAAATAAAAACTCCTTAGTATACTTTTTTTAAATGTGACAACATAGAGGGTATATTGTGAAATTCTAAAAAAATTAAAAATTCCTTAGTGTACTTTTCGTAAACGTGACATATGACATTCCAACGTGGCGGTCCAATTTGATTGAATTACTGTGTCTTCACGTCACACGCCAAAAAACAATTACTAAGGAATTCACATCTCATACTGCGCGTGTTAAAAACAATCAAACTTTAAAAAACTAGTAGTGCACTTTTCGAACAACGTGACACACAAACACCCCACCACATTTCCTATACATAACCACGCCATTTATCCTCCAACTGTACTAATAATGGCAACATAGTCAACAAATAATTTAAAGGACCATTCAGTCACAAAAAAAACACTTAAGACCTTATGAATTACAAGTCTACAAAACGAAATTTACTAGTCAATTCCCCTAAAATTTAATACTATAATTATGTCAAATTTGAAGACTTAATATATTTTTTAATAAAAATTCAAAGGAGATTATTTTTAAAAAATGTGATGGAAAATGATAAATGATAAATTTAGAGTCAATTATGGATTGGTTTAGGAGTAGAATCTTAATAATATTTTAACTTTTTATAAAAAAAAAATATATTCACAAAAACAGAGAAATGATGGGAGATGGGTTTTTATGTATTTAATTGAGGGCGTTACAGGATGGGTCGTGACAGTTATGATATAAGACAATTTACAATTTTGAGTAGACAAATTTTTAGGCTTTACAAAATAAGAAAAATTAGTATATTAACAAATGTAATTTACTACTATAATATATTAAGGGGTTGTTTGGGATGACCTAAATAAGTGCACTTTTTGTCTTTTTACGAAAAGATGTGCAGAAAAGTAGAGAGGTGATGTGATGGAAAAAAGATTAAAAGATAGATTATATTGGACGAACTAAGGCAAAGATATCAAACAATCCGAAACCCGAATTATTCATATATATGTATACAAAAATATTAAATATATATATATATATAAATTATTAGTCATTACATGATATTAACGTAATTTAGATTATTAAATCATATTGAATATATAATATATATACAAATAACATAAAATTTTCCTTTTTTTTATTTTCATTTATAAATTGTAAAGACTACTATAGCGACATCTCTCTTACATTATATAAATTATTTGCTTTGATAGTATTAATGATTTTGTATATATATAAAAATGTAATTATAGTCAAATTTTAATAATTTAATAATGTAGCTGAAAAAAAAAATATAATTTAGGCAATTCGGGCAACTCATACAATTCAAGTTTAATTCGGGTCGGTCTTGGGCAGGCAACCTTAGGTTACAATTCACACTTGGGCGGGCCTGGGCAGATCTCAGCACAACTTGAATTGTACTTGAATAATCTCTCAATCCGACCAAATCTGCCCGAATTGCACCCCTAATACAACGTTAATGGCACATCACTATCACTGCATTCCAATTCCAATTTCCAATTTTTAAGTCTTATCGCCCAGACTGATAGTGTGTCTGGTTTGAGTTTTTTGAATTAAATTTTTTAAAAACTTAGTTTTTTGGTTTTCGTATTTTTTTGTTTTTAGTGAATATTTTTTAAATTTGAAACATTTTTTTTACTTTTTTAGATGCACCTTACTTAGATGCATCTAAAAAGTAAAAAATTTGTGAAAAAATATTTTAAAAATTTAATAAATACAAAAAATGTACTGAATTCTCATATTTTTTTGTATTTTTAGTATTTAATGAATTTTTAAAAGATTTTTTTCACAAATTTTTTACTTTTTATGTATATTTATGTTAGGTATGTCTAAAAAGTAAAAAAAAAATTGCTTAAAATATTAAAAAAATTCAGTAAACACAAAAAAATACGAAAAACAAGAAAGTAGAATTTTCTGAAAAGTGTTTTTGAAAAAATACAACCAAGCAAGATGATACTCAAAATTTGAATCATCATAACACTTTAGCTTCATTTGAGAAGTAGGTTGACTTTTTAACTTTTTTGACTATTTTAACATTGGTTAAAAAGCTTGATTTGGGAAGTGGATTGACTTTTTTGTGAGAGAAAGAATGTAATGATTATTATTGAATTAAAAAACCTATTTTATTTTTTGTAACTATTTTAGCCGAAAAACCCCCAAATCTCTCTTCCCAAAAGTGTGTTTAGTCTGTGTTTTAAAACATATTTTTAGAGGAAAATTTTTAAATTTATGTTTGCTTATAAATTGTTTTAAAAAACTTAAAATTATTTTTTTCTCTATTACACATTAATTAATCATTTTTCTCTTTTCTCTCACTTTTTAATTGTCTACACAATTACAATAAAATAAATCATTCCAAATTATAAAATTATTTTTAAAATATACAACTAAAAAAATTTTACCTTCGCCAATTTTTTTTTAAAAATTTATCTCAAAACACAAATCAAATCCATCCCGGTTTTTGAGAAAATTCCCCAATTTCTTCCTTCCTTCCTTCCTTCCATGGCCACTCTCTCTGCCTTCTCGTCTTCTTCTTGGCCAAACCCTAACCCTAGCTCCAACTTCCACTCTCTTCCTCAACCCGATCACACCGACCACTCTCACATCCCAACCAATCTCCCTCCTCCTCCGATGGGCACCACCGAAGACGAGGACGATGAACCTCTTCCCAATACTCACCCCCAATCCACTCTCCTCCAAAACCCTAACCCTAATTTCCCCAATCGACCCTCGCTTTTTGCTCCAACTATTCTCCATGTCTCTTTCAATCAAGATTTCGGTTTCGGTTGCTTCTCCACAGGCACCGATCGTGGCTTCAAGATTTACAATTGCGACCCGTTTCGAGAAATCTTTCGCCGCGATTTCCATCACGGAGGTATCAGCACTGTTGAGATGCTCTTCCGATGCAATATACTTGCTATAGTCGGTGGAGGCCCTGATCCTCAGTACCCTCTCAACAAGGTAATGATTTGGGACGATCATCAGAGTCGGTGCATCGGCGAATTGTCGTTCCGAGCGGAGGTTCGCGGTGTTCGGCTCCGGCGTGACCGAATTGCGGTTGTGCTGGAGCAGAAGATCTTCGTTTACAATTTTTCGGATTTGAAGCTTTTGCACCAGATTGAGACGATTGCGAATCCGAAGGGGCTTTGTGCGGTTTCGCAGGCTGGTGGATCGCTTGTGTTGGTGTGTCCGGGGTTGCAGAAGGGGCAAGTTAGGGTTGAGCATTACGCGTCGAAGCGGACCAAGTTTATCATGGCTCACGATTCGAGGATTCCTTGCTTTGCACTCACACCGGACGGTCATTTGCTTGCGACTTGCAGCACTAAGGGGACTCTTGTGAGGATTTTCAATACGTTCGATGGTTCGCTGCTGCAAGAGGTATGCTGGGTTTGATTTCTTTTGCTTTCTTGGTTGAGTTCGTAATTGAATTGAAGTATTGCTTAATTGTTGTTTCTCTCTTCAGTACAATTGGTTGATAAGTTTCATTTTTTATTCTCTTTCTTGTGGGTTTTCTTTGATTACCAGAACCCATTTTGAAGCATATTTAGCTATGTTATTATAAGCTGAACTTGTTCCTCTGCCAAACGACAGAATTGTTTGAAGTTGTCATCAAGGTATTTTCAGTTCATCTGCTAGCGTTGGCTTAATTGGGAAGAAACAAGTATACTGCAATGCAACAATAGGTGGCATGATTCAAAGAAAAAAAAAAAAAAAAAAAATCTAAGTGGTAATTTTGTGTTTAACAAGGTTAAATTAACTTCATATTCCAACCAATCAATTTGAGTTTAGGACACTTCCTTTCTTGAGAGATCTTTATTGCTACTTTGCATTGTGTACTAGGAATTCAATCTAGTACACTTGTTTGACATGTTCTTAATTCAATCGCAGTAATTCCCTCCAGGAAGTGTTCGTTGAGTAAGTGCTTAGTTTGATACCTTATTGGTGAATGCATGTACAACCACCCTTATTACTTGCATTCATTGTGCTAGGTTTGTTCCTGACAAAATGACCTTAGAGCAACAATGAATTGGTATATCGGAGTAGCCTGTCATTTTTTATGAACTAGGAATCTGAGTTGTTATCTGTCTTGGTGGTGCTCTCTCTCTCTCTTGTTTTTATCATTTTATAAAAACAAAATGGCATATAGAAGAAGGTATATGAAAAGAAGACGGATAAGCCGTCAGGGTTATAGTAAAGCACATCGGAGTGCTCTTGAAGGTCATTCATTTTCATATGAGGTGCCACAGGTTTTAGGTTGGGGATCTTCAATGCATGCTATTGCTATCCCCAATATTGATAAACAGTCCTTGGTGAAGATTACATCTGTAACGGTTCAAGGATATGGTAGCATGACTCAGGGTGACCAGTTGTTTTATGGTTTGCTCAGTACTGAAGGTATTGATTTGAAGTCGTCAGCACTGAGAAGAAGCATTCGAAAATCATTTTTGTTTAATGAAGGTTTGGAGAACAATGTGAAGATCTTGTTCCATGGTGTTGTTGGTGGAGATTTCACCAGAAATACTGTATTTAAATTTCCAATTAGAAAATTTAGAAAGGTTGGGAAATTTAATCTTACTCAGAAGACTTTGTTTTTTTTTGTTGGGTTTACAGTTGTTCAACGAACAACATTCATATTTGATGTGAAGTTTCGTTATAATGTATAATGAGTTTAGTTTTAATGTACGCAACTTCAGTTTCTGGTTCTCAAATTGTACTCTAACTCCTTCGGAGTTAATTAATAAAATAAAGAGATTTATTACATCATGCTTACGCAGTAATCATGTTTATTATTTTATTTCATACTTAAAGTAATGGGCTTGGCCCATATGGTTAAGGGCTGCTATTTTCTCCGCAGCCCAATAGGCTACGTTGGGCCTTCAGCCTGTCAGGGATGTGTCATCCTTGCACCTTGGGTTATGTTAACCCAGCCCAATTGATAGCCTACATAATTGACTTTTAAGTCATTTGAAGAATATAATTGAACATTTTAATGGGTCATTTGAAGAATATAATTGAACATTTTAAGGTCTTGTTTTTGTCCTGTCGGACTCTGTTGTGTCTTGTTTAAGACGTAGTAGTCTTCGATTCGTATTGAGTTGTAATCATCTTCCTCTCATTTATCGGGTTGTTGTAACTTGCTTATCAAGTTGTAACTTGTTAAGGCTTTGTTTTGTTTATCGAGTTGTTTTGTTGTTAGTCGGTTCACTACCTGATTAATGCAATTCGAGTGTTTAGTTTTTAAAACAAAGTTCAATCTAATTTACATTGTTGTGTAAAGTGATGCGATGCGATGCGATACATAGAATGTACAAATGTAACACTTTTTCAACAAAAAGAGTTGTTTCATTCCATCATATTTTTTTTGCAAAAGTACATAGTTTTGAAAAAAATAAAACCTGCCTAACGCAGTACAATGTGCAAAATTACTAGTAAAAAGAAAAATAAAGCAAAAAAAGAAGAGCAGCATCTGAATTAGCAAAATGTCTGGATCGGTGCCAGCCGCCTCAAGGCTGAGAGGTCCTCGCCATCTTCCTCGACTGAGAGGACTCTGGAACATCATCACCGTCAGCACCTGACTCTGAACCCGAACCATCCCCAGCCCCATCTCCATCCTGAGACGACTCTGACTGCGGACTCACTGCCTCCTTGTCAGACTCATCATCATCTGGGGCAGGCCCCCGTGAACTAGTCCCTCGTCCTGCTCCCCCTGCTGCTCGGGGAGGTGCTAAAGGACCCCCTCCTACTCCTGCTGGGGCATCTGATGGGCCTGGCATTAGGAAAGGAATCTGAAAAAGGGCAATTCGCCAAAATGCATTAGTAATCAAAATGTATCAGATGCCAAGAATAATGTGCTGTGAGCAATGAATGATTTGCAATGTAGTTGTATCGTGAGCGGTGTATGGGAGTAATGTATTAGGTCAGTGTAGTGTGGGACTATGCAAAGGATGGCGTGTCAAGAAAAGATTTTGTGAAGTGTGGTTTGAAAGAACTTACCAGAATATTGTAAATACTGAGCAGGTCCATGCTCGTTTGCAGCATCCCCATCACCGAAGTCGTCAGCTCCAGGGACTGACTAGTGTACTCAATGGGAGCCGACAAAAATGTTAAAAGTCATTAGTATTTTGCGGGATATCAAATGAAATCAAATGACTGTACAGAATGAAAAGTATAGCGCATACCGGGGTCGAGCCACGAACTCCGACAAGCTCATGACCAGCTGGAGGATGAGCGATGGGAATCTGATAAGTCTCTCCAGCCCGCGCTCAGCATGTCATAGTAGGAGGCAGCTCTGGCCATACAGTCCCCTGTCTCTCCTCGGGACCTCTCCTCGTACGAGATCTAGTTGCTCCGTCTCTCCCTCTCGCAGCTGGAGCCCTCGCTTCCTCTCTCCTTCGGACACTGGACAAAGGTGGCATCAGATGCGTCTGAATAAAGGTCGCGTAGTCGTCCTCTGTGCGGAAGTAATCCGTCTCCAGTCCTACCATGAACTGGATCACCTGGTCGACGGACAGCCTGTGTGTCTCCCTCATCGATAGTGGAGGTGCCGTCAGTACAAACGGAGCAGGCAAGCCCAAGGTCTGGTGTACGAAGCGCTCACTCAGAAACCAGGTGCGACAGAACGGGCCCTCGAAGAGGATGTGGTAGTGAGACATAGTCCGAGCAGTGTGGTACTGATCTCGGAGTCCTAACGGAATCACCTCCCATGGCTGCCACGTGATCTGAGAAAAGAGAACGAACAAGATGATCAGTCTTCAGATAACTAATGTGGGTGCATCAAGTTAATTGAAATAATCTCGTTGCGGAATTACCTCGCGCGCCGTGATCGAGTCGAAATACTGCCGGAAGAACATGAAGCTCTCTCGGGTCCTACGACGGAGCTGGCTGTCGTATACATTAGAAATGGGACTGTCGTTGGGGTCTCCTCCACAGGCTCTGGGGCAAGTGTCGGGAAGTATGCGTACACCCACAACTGTGAGAAAAATGTGATCAGTACAGTGTATGAACAGAGTATAGATCATGCAGAAAGCAGGATGCAGTACAATGCATAAGGAGTGCAGGTCTAGAGTAGATATTAGATTTTGTATGTGCGGTGTATGGTATGCAGTGTGCAGTATGTATGGTGTACAAAAAATGCAAAGCAGAAAGCATACAGTGCAAGAGCAGATACAAAAAATGCAGAAAGTACAAGTGTTGAATAAAGCAAAAGCAGGAAATGGTAAGCAAATAATGAAAAGGAGAGACTAAGCTGTGTACCTCCCAAGCTCGCCAATAGCCGCCGATCAACCTCCCGCACATCCAAGAGGTCGAGCTCATGTATCCGTAGAGAGTAGTAAGGCCGGCTGCGCCCCAGTCATAAAAATGAACCCGCTGGAGCACCACCAGAGCGCCTAGAAAGTATAAACCCACGGTATTTCACCTGTTCGAAAACAAGGTGGTACCGAAAAGGAACAGGAGGAAGCCCCTAGCATACTGCTCCGCCTCCTCATCGGTCTCGGGATCCTTCCCTCTGTAATGCTCCTCGAACCAAGTGTATCTAGCCATACCTACTTGAAGTATCAGTGGACGTGCTCCAAGTAATGTATCCCATTCGGCCACCCACTCCCATGTCAAGATCAAGAGGAATCGGATCACCTCTTACGCCCAGGCCAGTGATCATGGTGGAGTCAAGAGGAGTCATCGTCATCTCTCCTGCCGTGGAGAAATGGAAAAAGTTGGTGGTGTCCCACCACCTCTCCACAAGAGCCTCTAGGAGAGGGCAACTCGCTGTGACCCGCGTCAAGCTGCAGCAAAATAGGCCGAAGCTGGTCCCGTCGATGATCTGGCGGACCCTCGTGGGAAGCACATCATACCAATCCCGAGCAGTCATCGCACCATAACCGCTGAAGGAGCGGGATCCATCCTGTGGCAGTGCATATGATGAAATCAGATCGACGATGTATTGAAAATACAGTTAAGATGAAATCAGTGATGTATTGAAAATGCAGTTGCATTCAGATCAGTGATGTATTGAAGAAACAGTTGAATTTAGGGCAGTGATGTGAAGTACAGTTAAATGCAGAGCAACAATGTATAAAATATAGCCAGATCAGAGCATGTGATGCAAACGGATCAAAACAGTGCAAGAAATGCAAATAGTTGAAAGTAACACTGCAGAAAAGCAGAGTTGGTACCTCCACCGTAATGGCCGACAAATGAGACTTGGGCTCTCTCAACAAGAGGCCATCTGGCGCGTCCTCATCAAAATCAGTGAAAGTATGGATGCCTTCCGCCACTGGTATAATGTGAGTCTCCGGGTGATTCCTCGTGGGGTTAAAGGGACGTATGCTCAGGGGCAAAGGCTGAGGCTCGACCCCTGGCTCGGCCGCAAAGTCCGCTGC